GGGAAACGACACACTCCTTTTACGCGTTTCGTCGTAGAGACTTTCTCAAAAAAATCAATTGTTTGATAGTTCAGATGGTAAAGTTATCCATGTTCTTAACAGTTAAATAACTACTAGTAGTGAAGTGGTTATTCAGAATTGAAAATTATTCATAGGAGTGATTTTACGTTGCATCGGTCATTTAATGGATTTTATGATTCAACAAGCATCACATGATCTCTGACCGAATAACTGTGTAAAGGTGGCCATGCTGTAGTAGATTTCCAGTCGGAAATTGTACACGAACGGTCTTTCGAATGAGGAATCGAACGGGTGATGGTACATCACCGATTTTCGTTTTGATATTGTGATTTACATTTTTAGATCGGTCAGGTTGGAAACATTTTCTCTGATCGAACGAAAATCGATAAATCAGAGGAGTTTTCATTCATCAGAAATCGTAGCAAGAACAGAGCACATGCGCAAAAGGAGTTTATTTCTGTCGTTGGTTGGTTAGTATGACTAGCAAACGATTTCCGAAATTGACATTCGACTATGCTTCATGGAGTATAAGAGCTATAATCGAACGAGGGTTTGTGGCAGAAATGAACATTTTCAATCAAAAATCTACTAGTGTATGGCCACCTTAACGTAGAGGATCCATGTTTGTTGGAAGGAGACAGATTACATAGGATACAACAGAAAATCTGAGAATTATCGATTTTTATAGTGATACCTAGTTTGACTGAGTTACATATGAAAGGATCTGTATTAATGAATGAAAATGTGACTAAGCCATGATCAGACTTGATCTTGTGCATCATATTGTGGTTTAAGGCTATGGCAATAATTTCTCTTTTTTTGGCTCAGACATATCACCTTTTACTTTTGGCATTGTTGCAGTCAATGCGATAACTTACTAAAGGAGTAGAGCATGTTAACTTTGTAAGTGCATTTTCAAGTTGCAAAGCAACTTGCATTTATCTTTTGGTAAATGTGGTAAAGCAGTGCTGACTACAGTCATCCAATCATATTCAAGCAAAATTATTATTTTATTTTTTTTCATTTTCTTTACATGTGATTAGGTATTCTTTGCAAATTGAATTTTTACTGTAATCACTAAGATACATGAAATCGAACAGCAGTGAGAAGCCTGCCGAAGGTTCGGCTCAGCCGATCCAGATGTTGGATCGGCTGAATCGAACTCCTTCTGCACTTCGGGTCGGCCGAACATGCTGAGCATGTTCAGCCGACCCGAAGCCACGGGAAGCAAGCCGATCTATGGCTGATTCAAGCCGATGTACGGCTGAAATCAGCCGTACCAGCCTGAAGTGAATAGCCGAACAGTGTTCGGCTCACTTCACTTCTGATCGGTCATTCACTCGGCTGCCCTCGGCAGCATAGTGAATAGACCCCATAGTAACATAATAGGTAAGGTTAAGTACGCACAAGGGTCCGTCCAGTTCAACCTATGTGTGTATGGGTGAGTGTGATTGTGTGTCTGTATTTATTTGACTCTAACACTGTACATATTTTTGTATATCAAGAGAAATAAGAAACTCATCAAGAAGTTTCTGGATTTCATCAACGCTCTTGGTGGAGACTACCACCTATGGAAGAAAATTCCACAATTTCACTACTCTCGCAGTAAAAAAAAACAAACTCTGAGTTTGAACCCCCTTTCCTCCAACCTCCTGTGGTGTCCCTGTGTTCTCAATACAGTTTTCTGATTGATCAGTTTTTTCCGAATATTGTGGTCCCCATTGATGATTTTGATGACTGCAATAAGGTCTCCTCATAATCGCCTCTTTTCTAAGGTGAACAAGATAAAATGTTGAAGGTGGTCATCATAACTCAGGCCTTCTATCCCTTTAATTAATTGTGTAGCCCTTTGCTAAACTCTCTCCACCTCGAGGACACCTTTCCTGAGGGTTTCCTGAGACCACAACTGTACCGCATACTCAAGATGAGGTTGAACCAGTGATTTATAAAGTGGAGGTATTACTTTTTTTATCCCTTGCCACAATACCTCTTTTAATGCACACCAGTATGCGGTCTGCTCTGCTGGCTGCTCCTTTATCATTGCTTACTATTGTCAAATCTGTATTCTATGAGCACCACCAGGTCTTTTTCCATGTCTGGCTTCCCTAATGTAGCAACCCCCAAGTTGTAGTTTGCGCACCCATTCTTTGCTCCCATATGCACAACCTTAAACTTTTCAACATTAAATTGCATTTGCCATCTTGTAACCCAGGCATCAATTTTATTAAGGTTCTGTTGAAGTGCACTTATCTCCTGTTCGGAAAGTACTGCCCTACACAGTTTTGTATAGTCCGCAAAAACCGTAATCAAAGTTTTTAGTGCAATCTATGTCGTGGATGAATAAGACTTCTTTTGTAAAAAATCCCCAATGGATCCACATAGTATTTTCGTTTTTGAGGTTTCTACAAACTTTTAGGAAATAATGATTCTCTAACATTGCATTTTTGAGACATATTTGAATACTGATGTTTAAATGATTTTAATTAGGTGAGTTCATATGTATTAAAACATTTTTTAATATGTATTGTTTTTATTGGCTTATATCTTTATGTTGCTTGACCTTGGCTGCCTATAAGGAATGTTTTTGCTGTTGGCCTAGCAAGACTAACACACCTTCATGTTACTACAATATTGCCAGTCTTTCACCTCTCCTAACTAATTACCATGTTTATAAAAGTGGAGTCATCAGTTTTTCAACAATACTATTTAGCTACTTGTGTAGATAGCCACAATTTATGCACAGGGTGGTGGAATTTAAGGATGGTTTTAGAAAACCCTGATCTCACTAATTTCTGAAAACACATAATAGAGATAGACAAGCATCATCACTTAACAAAAGATCAGATTGAATACTTTAATATTTCCCTGTACAAAATTGAAGGAATTATTGTGAAAATTAAATATGGTGAACTTTACCTTAGGGAAACTAGTATTGAGTAATAGGCATGGGCTCGATGTTCGAGTGGAACGTGAGTTCGACTTGAACATCTGCAGTTCATGTGTCCAACCCCCCCGCAAGGCACTGTGCCTTGTGAGCCCTGATTGGGTAAAGCCTTGCATCTAAACCACGGGTCAGGTGCAATAATTTGCCCAATCAAGGCCCAGTACTCTGTAAGAGCCATGATTGTGAAAAGTCATGATGAATTTGCCCAATCATGGCTCACCTGTTACAACTGTAAACAGTTGCGCAGAGCTAGCTGTCACTGCTAGCTCCACCCAATTGTTTATATATTGCCGGCATCTCTCAAAATGCCATTCTGCGGCAGGTGTTCATCACAAACCGGTGGGACGGCAGTCGTCCTTTTTTTCTTACAATTTTATTTAACCCTTTAGTGAATGGGTAGGGGTATAAGTACCTCTTACTCATTCACAAGGGGAAGCCACATCTGGGTTTATTAAAGGGGTACCCTGATGTGAATAAGCCCCATGCCCGCACCCCCACAACCAACGCCCCAGGGCTTGTGGGGAAGAGGCCCTTGTCCCCATGGGCATGGGGACAAGGTGCTTTTCCAGGGGCGACCCTGGAAAAGCACCCTCCCAGTGTAAGGGCATGTTGCCTGGTATTGCAGGGAGGGGGCGCTCGTGCATTCCCCCCTTTCCTGCCCTGCCAGGCTTGTGCTCGGATCAAGGGTCTGGTATGGAATTTTAGGGGGGACTAGTTTCCCTAAGGTAAAGTTCACCATATTTAATTTTCACAATAATTCCTTCAATTTTGTACAGGGAAATATTAAAGTATTCAATCTGATCTTTTGTTAAGTGATGATGCTTGTCTATCTCTATTATGTGTTTTCATTTTGGAGGTGGGGTTCCTCCTTTAAAAAGGGTTTTTTCCTTTTTTTTGCAAATTGGGGTCCCTCCTAAAATTCCTACCAGACCTAAAGGGTCTGATATTGTTTGGAAGGGGGGACTGAACGTTTTTTTTTTCTTTTTAAATGTAATTTTTTTCTTTACAAATGTCATTTTTGCTGCAGCAGGTTCTTTACATTGTACAGATGCACCACTTTACAGGCAGTTTAAGAGGGCCCCTCGGGCACAATATTTAAAGGAATTTTTCATTTTTATTGATTCACTTTAAAGTGATATTAAAGCCTAACTTTTTAAGACTTTTAAATGCTGACCATACAACTTATTCCATTTGCTTAGGGTGCACAAATGTAATTGTAGTTTTCTGCAAGTCTGAGGCACCCTTCTGATGGAGTATCCACTAGACCAATATTTGCAAGGAATGCCACCAATTCAAGCATCACTTATGACAATTTAGAAATGAGTGACACACTATATGGCCAAAAGAATGTGGACACCTCTTCAAAATAATTAAATACACGTGTATCCAGTGAAGAGTACTGGTAAAGCTATAACATACACCTGATGGTCATGTGTTTAAAAACATTTGGCTATATAGTATAAATGCATGTGTTAGGCATCAGAACGGCTCATAAACACACAACAAATTCTAATACATCTCTAGGATCACATGGAAATCATTCCCTTATTGTTTTTGAGAAAAAAAGTAAAACATAATGAGTTTTTTAGCATGTGTGCTGCAAAAGAATGTCAGCTGAGCTGTAATTATTCTTTTTTTGTTGTGGCACTGCAAACAACTACATGCAGAACTGTGTCCCTCAATTTTTCTTGGTAATACATCTGCTCATGCTCATGTATGGCCATCCTTAGCCAGAAGACTACATTCTGATACTTGCTATTTAATTTTTTTGTGTTTTGATTGACTGAGTACTACCAACCACAGAAGACAGATTGAGTGCACTTCCATTGTAGGGAAATTGCTTGGAAATGTATTACTGGATGACTATTGTTCCATCTACAAGGATATATATGAACGTCTTTACCTTCCCACAAAACCACAAGGATATTTATCACCTGCATAGACCGTTAAAATCAAATTTGGTAAATCTTTATTTACCTAAACTTTTCACAAATTAGGACATATTCGTTCAGTATAGAATTTCAGGATAACATACCCTTCTTGTTACTATGGGATCTATATCTTTTGGATCCCTGTGATCCAACATCATTAAATCAGCATTCAGAGTCCGGACCCGTTGTAATCTCAGTCGAATGTAGCGAGCTGATGTAAATTCCAAAAGTGTTGGTGTAGGATCCTCAGCACTTGGTCTTCCATTAATTAAGGAAGTGTGAATCTATATAAAAAAAGAAAAAGAATAATTGTATTTAAATAAAATGTAATACCACTGACACATTTCATAACATTTAGAAATAAAGTGAACTAATGTGCCCCTATATCCTATGAAGGTGATACAAAACAGATAAATATTCATCTTCTTATTTATGGGATTTTAACCTTGTTTTAAGATGCTCTTTGAATTATGTCTACAAGATTCAGTGTCCATGAACTGAATGTTGAAGAGCCATACATCTACTGGAAGGACACAGTGGACTTTATAGCTCTGTAAAAGTACACAAACACTTCTTCCTTCCACTGGCTTCAACAGAAGACCTGATTCTCTCTATTGACTATAAGACACCTTGTTCAGCTCTACCTTAGTATCCACCAAAGAAAAAAATAAAAAGCACTTTGGCTGCACTTGCCATTAAATTGCAGAAACTTATATGAACTTCTCAACAAAAAATATCTGTTGTTTGAGCTCAGGGGGCACAATCTGAACTCTAGCTGATGTTTAATCTCATTATGTTTGTATAAAGGTCATAATACATGCATACCTACATTTGTATCTACAAATTTGCATAATGCATGAACAAATAACAGTCCATATAATATTAGAAAACTCAGATATTCATGTAACATTTGAACAGAACATTATTAAAAAATATGGGATAACAAGAACACAAATTGATGTAATAGTTTATACGGACTTCTCTCTATTGTACTTTTATCTTACTATCCTCATTTTCCTGTTCCAATTGTTTGCTCTGTATTGTTTACAAAGAAGAAGAGACATCATATTGTTTTAGTGGAATATTATCTAATTCCACAAATCTTCCAAAAAGTAAACAGCCTACATTTTTTATTCATGGCACAAACATTACAGCTAAAAGACGCCTGACTGTTTCTGTAAATTAAAGGAAAAAACATGAACTTGTTTCTAGGGTATTGTTAATAAGAACAGATTTGTTTCAAATGCCATGTTTTAAATTTCTGGTGAAATGTCATGGACTGCTCTTGTCACACTCTTCCTAAACCTTGCATTCCCCAAAGAGTTTTGGGAAATGTCAGCCTAATGAACTGTTTAGCAAATATTGTTGTGTCATTGACAACTATCCCCATCAGCTCTATTCTTAATGGGACCTTAGTTCAACATTATCCCTTTACTTGCCTGTGTCACCTTTGTGTTACATATGCAAGTTGGAATGACAAATTGCAACAGCTTTCCGCATTATTTTTGAACTCTGTTAAAAAATGACTCCATCTGGTGTTTCTGACTAAAATAGGACAAGATGGGTTCTTACAGATGTTCCTTACATACTGGTCTACTGCAAAGCAAACATCTATTATTCGGCATAATATAAGCTGTGTTTACCATGAAACTTTGTATCACAGTTAAAGGAGAACTATGGGGTAACCTTTTTTTCCCATAGTTCTCCTTAGGGTCACAGGAGGACATATACTAATCTCCTCCCATGATCCAAACGTCACAGGTTTATTCACAAAAAGGTGAAGAGTTTGGAGAAGGCAGGAGAAGTAAACAATCTAGGACAACATAGCTGAACTGGAAAGTAAGCTGAATTGGAGAATTTTTCCAATTCAGCTATGTTGTCCTAGATTTTTCACTTCTCCTGCCTTCTCCAAACTCTTCACCCTTTTGTGAATAACCCTGTAAGTATATAGCTGGCTATTGCCCGCTATCTACTGAGAGCACCACAGCTGGGACAGATCCTGAAAATACTGTTGTGATCCACCCCGCTGGCTAATTGACAGTGGGCTTTTCCTACCTAGATGGGGAGAATCCCTGTGGGGAGTGTCACCACTCTCTGCAGGGAGATGATTGGGAAGTGAGCGAGCAGGGGTATGTTTTCACTCACTTCCTGATCAATAGAGCCAACGTGTGACAGTTTCAATGTCATATGTTGGCTCTAACTATGGCAATGAGTGTAATTCACTCACCTTATAGTTCTCCTAAATATGCTGTAATATTATTGGTACGTGGACAATATGATGATGGAATAAATGCATTTACAGCCACACAATCTGATTATTCACATGATTCTGTTTGTAGCCATGTGTCATTAGTATATGGAAACCACTTTGACATACACAGAGCTGGTCATGTACCAACAGATCCTGAAATACAGCCTGAACATGTTTGACCAAATCCACTCACTTTTTGATTAGTGATTGATTAATGATCAAATATTGGTATGAGGTATCTTTGGCTGCAGGCATAGGTTGTTAAAAACTAGAAAAAAGTTTTGGCTGGACATATCTTTTGCATTTCACAATTTCAACAAAGTTCATATTTTGTCATATATACAGTATTTTTCTCTAAGGTGAGTACCAACTGATTTTTGAATCATTGTTCCAGACAATATAAAGGATAAATGGCAGGATCAATGGTGACTTTGAACACACAAACCTATAACCAAACAGTGCCAATGAGCCATAACATATTCATTCTCATAAACAGAATGCAATGATTTTATTAATTCTAGGAAATTTTGCAATAATTTATACTACATTTAAGGTCAGAAAATCAAAAGCTTATCTTCCTTCAGTAAACAGTAGCACATCATGAAATGCTTTGAATATACATTTAAATACTAGAGTTAGCTTATACTCATTGGCAGGTGAATATATTGTTGCATTCTTTTTCAGAGAATTTCATAATTCAGAGACTCAGAGAAGCATTCTCACATATAAATGTCTGTATCATTTTTTCTGTACTGCTGATGCTGTGGTACTATCAAAGCATCAAAATTACATATGTGTTAACAGATTGCACTTCACATCTGATATTGAAGTATTATTGTTCTGGTACCATGCCAATATGTCACCACTGTGTTGCAGGGACTGAGCTGGGATTACACAACACAGGACATATTACATTACATTACATATTTTTACTTCATTCCATCTGTTCTGTTTTATGATAGTTCTGTTACATAGATTTTATAATACTATGGCTATGAGTTTTGTGTGATAAAAGTCAATCTAAAACTATTACAGTGACATTATGTCATATACACTAACCTCTGCCTGTATCTTTGCATCTCTAAATTGGTAGAAATAATCTGTATGCTACTGTGTTTCAAAACATCCAATAGATTGAATTATAGTATATTGTCATTCTATGATTAAACCTGTTTCAAAAGTTGATGATTGATATAAAATCATTGCCTCATATATTGTTTCAAGAAGCAGTAGCACATTTGGTTTAAGTTGTGTAGTGCACATTACTTGGATCTAACTTAAAGCCCATTTTCACCTTTGTAAGTGATTGGCATTTATTGTAATCATGTAATGGTGCAGGGATAATGTATGTGTGTGTGCAGTTTCATTACTGACATTTCTGTTTTGTCTTTACTTTTTTGTGGACTCTTTAATGGGCAGGAGTCCTAGAAAGCGTCCTGGAGTGCTCGAGTAAAGCACATAAAATATTTAAGTATAAAAGTAGCTCATATCCATGCACTTTTACAAAAAATGAAGGTATCTTAATTACCCTAACAACATTGCTCTCTGTAAGCAAACATGCTCACAAGAGCATGGCTAAAATGCACATGGGTTAAAAAATTGTCCTGTGAGAACGTCAGTTTTGTAATCGTGGAAGTTATCCTCATAGGCAATAGGTCCAAACACAGGCTCCGGTCACATCTCTGTCTACACTGGCACTGTGTACTAGGCTGATGTGTTTCCGGGGCATGCCCCCTTCATCAGAGCCACCAGGACTCTGATGAAGGGGGTGTGCCCCGGAAACACGTTCCATGATTACAAATGTGACTTTCTCACAGAACGATTTTTTAACCCATGCACATTTTACCCGTCCTCTTGTGAGTATATTGCTTATATTATTTTCGTTTTAAATACATGTTCTACACATGAGAGCTGTGCTCTGTTTTCTTTTTACATATTTTTTTGGAGCCCCTAGACCACAATGAGCAGTTAACACTTGCATTGTGGAGGTAGCCCCAATGCAAGGGTTAATTTTTTAAATGTATGCAGTTCCACTTTAAATGAAGGCTCTTTCCCTAATCTTTCTATTGTTTTCATACTATATATAGTATGTTGCCTGTTTGGATTGTCTGCCACTGCACACAAAGGATCCTAAGTAGACATGTGCGATTCTTTGGGAAAGATTCTTTTTTTCTGACAAATTTGAGGTTCGTACATTCGGATGCATCATGTTGGGGGGTCCCTCCTAACATTCGGACCTTTCAGGTCTGGTAGGAATGTTAGGAGGGACCCCCTAAGTAAAAAAAAGTGTGTGGGGTTCCCCAAAAGTCATACCAGGCCCTTTAGGTCTGGTAGGAATTTTAAGGGGGAATTCTACCCTCAAAAAATGGGGGGGACCTGGGGTCCCCCTTAAAATTCCTACCACACCCTTGATCCAAGCACAAGCCTGAAAGGGCAGGAAAGAGTGGTGGTGATCAAGCGCACCCTCTCTGCACCATACCAGGCCACATGCCCTCGGCATGGGGGGGTGTCTCCATGCCGATGGGGACAAGGGCCCCTTACCCACAACCCTGACCTGGTGGTTGTGGGGGTCTGTAGGCAGGGAGGCTTATTTTCTTTGGGGTACCCCTTTAATTAAGGGGGCACCCAGATGCTCCACCCCTCCTTTTGAGTGAGTAAGGGGTACTTGTATCCTGAATTCATTCACTAAAGGGTTAAAAGTAAATGTAACTAAAGAGACCCCACATTTTTAAAAAGTCCTTTAATTGAAAAACTATTTTTTGACAATTCCTCTATTTAAAAAAATGGATCCATCAATGTAATCCAGCATCAATCATGATGAACAATGCCTGGTAACTCGCCGAAATAAAAAAAGTCCCACCGCACGCCAGCCCATCCGAACCCGACAAAGGCTCACTGCAAAATGACCGCTCTGGCCCAAATGTAAACAAGTGGGTGGAGCGAGTTGTGACATCATGGGGCTCCCCAATGCTATTTGTGAGCTCCTGAATTAATATGACACCTCGGCTCCCAGACCTGAATGGCATTCGGGAGCTCATGTGTTATACGACAGCTGTGAATGTCAAATGGGCGGAACAAGTCATGTGACGACATGGTTCGCTCCACCCATTTGCTTACATTCAGGCCAAAGCTGTCGTTTTGTGGCGAGTCTTCATCGGGTTCGGGCAGGTCGGCGTGTGGCGGGACTTTTTTTTATCTCAGTGAGTCAGCGGGCGTCGTTCATCATGATTGACGCTGGATTTCATTGATAGATCCATTTATTTATTTTAAATAAAGAACTTGTCAAAAACTCACTGATGTTTTTTTTTTTCAAATAAAGGACTTTTTAAAAATGTGTGGTCTCTTTATGTACATTTACTTGAAACCCTTTAGTGAAAGCAGTAGTCAAAGGGGGTCGGCATGGGGACACCCTCCCAATGGCCTGTGCTCAGATCAAGGGTCTGGTAAGAATTGTTGGGGATCCCATATTTTTTGGGGGGGTTCCACCTTAAAATTCCTACCAGACCTACAGGGTCTGGTATAATTTGGGGGGAACAGTTTCTGCGGATGTAAACATTTTTTTTATTTTCTTCTTTTGTCTAATGTCACTTTGCTGTAACGAAAATTAGTTCATAACGAACATTCGTACATACTACCACTGACGAAAAGTCTGAATGCGAATCCCAAAAAGAATTGATTTTCGGACCCGAATCGCGAAAAACTAATTAATAAAAAATCTGAATGAAGACTAAACCAAACTGATTTTTTGCCAACGCACCTGTTTGATCCTAAGGACATTTAATATAGTGACGTTTAATATGTTATAAGAATAATCAGTCTTTCACCTGGTAAGGGGGCTCCTTATATTCTCAGGGCCACGTACACTGTTGTACTGCCATGTCTATGATGTTGGCTTTTATCTTTTCTCTCCTCCTCAATTTAGTATTGAAAATGTATGTGCCCTTGAGTCTTAGCTTTGGTTGCACTGGGTTTTTGATTTTCCTTCCAATGGATTACCATTACCAGCATGTGTAAAAAGCCAACATGTGTAAAAAGTTTAACTAAGTTAACTTGTGACTTTATCCTTGCTATGTACTCTAGTAATCATTTGAATTAACTGAAGTTCTATTATATAAATCACCTACTTTTAAATGTAATGTTATGTCAAAAATACACCATTTTAATGCAGATAAATAACATGCATACAAATGTTGTTTTATAATTATGTGCTATAATGAAAGCCTGTTAAACAGTCACATAACATTGCTGTCATAGTTGGCATTTGTTGCATAGTGTAATTATTTTCTGTTTTTCAGCATGAACTTGTGGGCTCATCACTGTGTCACCTTCGCTGCTCTGTCTGTCTTCTTTGTGCAGGAACAATACTCTGTGGAAATGTAAATGTGTTTTCTTATTCAGCCCCCTCCTCTACTATGTTACAGACAATCAGAGAGCACTGTCAGCCCGCAGTGTGCCGCTGTCAGGGAAATAAAACCTGTCAGTTAGAGTACAGTAAAGTCAGCTTTTGGTGCTGTCAAAGTCTTTGCATTTGCTTCATTGCACAATTTACCTCTCCATTTTCAAGTGGATGAATCTTGGAATAATAAGATGTGCAGATGACTTCATCATCCTTTGTGTACGATGGTGTACCAACCCGTGGGCTGATATTATACCTCGTTAAACACTCGCTGTCGGTGATTGCATAATACTGCCATGGCTTGTAAGTGATATCATCGAGGGAGCGCTCTAAAATCCAGTTCCCAGGTCTCGGGGTGTTTGCAGCTTTAACAATGACATATGCAATCTGGAACACCTGTAAAAGAAAGAAATGCATGGTTACATGCAGTAATAGCATTAGCATATCATGATTTTAGGGTCATAAACTATATACAATTACATTAACAAAATCACACAAAAGAATAGCATACAAAATCTAATGATGTATGAAGAACTGCCTTTCTCTGCAACTACAATCCTTGTCTCCATCCATGTCCCCTGTCACTCATAGACTCTCACAGGTCCTAGGTTTATTGATGGCGGGGTGAAGATCACAGTCCACATTATCAAGCCCTGTTGCACTTGCCATTGGCCATTACTTAGCTCTAGCCATTTAACCCCTGCACTCCACTCACACAGTACTCTTGTGGCAGAAGGATGTTAGATTTAAAAAGATACATGCATAATTTAAATACAGTTGTTTATTAAAGGATGCATTTTAGACTCTGCAGGGCTAACTTTCAGATTGCTTGAGAGCCATCCATCATTTTGCATGTGGTACATTACCCTCTCCCAGACACCGCCCAAGTCTGCGCTGTAAGCTTGCAATGTAGAGGCTTCACATTCTTGATGCTTTAAGCTACTTTTAATACCAATTTGGCACAGGGACAAAACTAAGGAGGCTGTGTTTCTTAGATTACTTCACATATAGCCTGAGAGTAGCCTGCAGATGGCTAGATTTTCTTCACAGACACCAATCCCTGGGAACAGAGCACATCATCTCTGGGCAGACCCTGCTCTTTACACAAATGTAACCCTCTCCATTCAGCCCATAAAAGAACATATACAACAGGAGCACAAAAATGCAAAATGGGTTTTAATTCCCCATGCTGCTATAAAAAAAAGGGGCTTTTAGGGACCAGTCACACCATAGCATGTGTTAAACATGCAGGATCCATGTGTGCACCTAGTGTGCGGTACCGTGCACTGTGCCATAGCATGTGCTAAACACATTAATCCTGCATGTTTAACACTATGCTTTTAGATTGTAAGCCCTCACGGGCAGGGCCCTCCTTACCATCTTGTCTTAAATTGTATTGTGACTGTAATGTCTTCCTTATATTGTAAAGCGCTGTGCAAACTATTGGCGCTATATAAATCCTGTATAATAATAATAATGGTGTGAATGGGCACTGATTGAGGTATGTGTTAGAGAGATTACCATAACTTTCCTAATATAAGAAGCAATAAAAATGTGGGCAAATCTCTAACCTATATCCACTCTATCCAAAAGAAAAATAAAGTGTCAGAAACTACACTTCAAGGATAACATTTCAGTAATGACAATTTAACACAGTATGATTAAAGAAAACCATTTTAGTACCACTTTTATCATTTGTTTTATATAATAAAGGAGAATTATGGGGAAAGTAAAATGCACTCATCCCCATACTTAGAGCTGAGTTGTGATACTCCAGCTGTCACACATTGGCTCTATTGATCGAGAACTGAATGATCACAAACCACTGATCACTGAGTTCATGATGTTCTCCCTATCAGTCATTGCTGTCAGTCATTGCTGCCTGCAGGGATTCCACCGTCCCCTCTCCATTCCTTCATTGCTGTCTGTAGGGACAGACAGTGGAGGGGGCAGGCACAGCTGGCTTTACAGAGGCTGAGTCAGCTGTCATTCAGGCAGCAGGGTGGATCCTGACAATATTGTCGGAATCTTTACCGGGTGCAGCACAGCTCTAAATACATATTTCTCTTTAGGTTGAATGTAATACCACATCATGGTCACTAGATGGAGCTGAGGAGCATAGGAAAGAAGTATTTATTTTCTATGATCCTCAACTCCTTCTGCTGGCCATATTACAGTATTACATCACATTCAATTCTGAAATGAAAATATACTAAGAACGTCCGTTCTTGCCTTTATTCCTACAGAATGCACATTTGCAGAGATTCACCGGGAAAATGGCCCGGAAAATTGTTTATAAATAGACCCCATAGTGTGAATGTACTTAACAATTTCTTTATTAAAACCTGTCTGATGTCTCCATCATAAACTGCAGCCTTTTAAATCTGCATACAAAGAGTAGCGGGCATTAAGTATGTGTAGACTGTGTGGATTTTTTCTGTGAAATATTACACTCCAATGCTCATTTCTTAATTATAAACCTGCCTGGTTTCTTCCTCTGAAATTGCAGCCTAGTAAACCTTTGGAGCAAGTCTCTACAATATTTCTGCCTGTTGTCTCTGAAATAATACACTACACTTTTTATTTATAATTCAAAACTTATTTTATTGTATCTATAAAATGTTATGCTGCAGAACACAGGGTGGCATTACCAGCTTCAGTGGTGTGCATTTTTCTCAGCCACCATGTCACCATCAGGACTCACCACAGCCACTACTTCACGGTGAGTGCACCCTCTGAGGGGATACGTACGACATTGGCCTATATCCCCAACAAAAGTTCACGGAACTTTCTTTTTTCGATATTATTTCACAAGAAACACTTTATGATCCACGGTGGTTTGTCACCAACATTAAACTACTTCAGAGACTCTGTGGGAGTATTTATCCAGGGTAACAGTGTTTTTTAAGAAAAAAGAAAAGAACTAAAAAGGAACAAAATTCAATATTGATTTGTTTGTTTTGATTTTTCAATCTTTCCTGCATATATGAATGTATTTTTGATATATTTATTGGTGATACATTGTTTCACATTTGCGTGCTTACTAGTTCATGAATTGATCACAGTTTATTGTGGTATTGACACATTTATTGATTGATGTTGGCGCTGCATAATTTAAATTTCCTATCTCTAAATGTGCCTCATGTGTACTTCAAATATGATGACCTAACCTTAGCCATAAATGACTACCAATATGATGATTGTATCAAGATCTAGTTTTTTTTAAATCTGGTAAACTGATTATTAGTAACTAATTGTTGAGTTATTATTCAACGCTTGCCGATGTCATTGCTGTGTAGTGAGCTGCAGGACTGGAAGCAGCAAGGATTATCTAAAGGAAGTGTGAGTGCTGCTTTGTTCTACAAATGTATTTTAACAAATACAGTTATACACTATGTGGCTATTTCTTTTTTCTGGGAACAATAATGTTGCATAAACAGTGTATTAAAATCGGTGGAAGCATCTTAAATCAAAATGGAGGAACTGTTATATAAAGCTGGAGTCACAGGCAGGGGAGGTAAATATTTTGGTGAAAAGTGTATTTTTTAACCTTTTTGCAAATAAGGTCACAGCTTTTCCAGCGAGTCTCCTATGTGAAGAGGGAGCACAGAGGCAATACCAGATGTACAGGCATGTATAGGTATTTAGAAGTTGAAGGAATATAACTTTTGGAAGTAGCAAAAAAATATTTTTTGGCTTTTTGAATTCATTTATTTTATACAAACAAGCTTGGTGTGAATAAGGGTTTATACAGAGTGACTTTATGGGATAGATGAATGCACTTATACTTATACTATTGCATAGCACGTTTGTCTGGTTGAGAGAAGAAATGTGTTTATTTGAATTTTCTTATTCAACACCGTGCACTACTTAGCTCTAAAGTACTAGGTGCATAAAGCTCTATCTACAGCAACCAGCAAGAATAAATCTTAGACTGGTCTGGGTTTAGCTAAAGAAAAATTTTGTTTTGAAACCCACCATGCACATACTTGGTCATGGTCAGTGATTCACCAAGTAATGACAAAGAATGACAACTGTAGTGCTATTACCATAAAAAAATAAGTCAGCAGTGGCAACCCCCATTTTTCCCCAATAGGTTAAAGTGACCTTGTCACAAAAAATACAGTTGGAAGGCAAGGCAAGAAAAAAGGTGTCTCGGTACTCTGGATGTGAGCCCACACGCGAGCAGGTTGCACGTTATCCCCCAGGGTGTGGAATCTAAAGGCCAGCCGGTGTTCCGCCAGGGACCCTCTCACATAAGTTTGGACTTAGCTTAATGCTGACCCAAGAATGTGATTCACAGGTTCACCATGCCTGCGTGTGGAGAATAACCATACACACCAAAGGCAGAGAAGGAAGCTGCATCCCAGGCAGCGCTGACAAAAAAAGGCGGCAGAGGAAAAGAAGATCCAGAAAATGGGCCAAAGGTCAGGGCATACAGCAGACAAACATAATCAGGAGAGCAAAGCCAATTAGGTACACAAGAGATCAGTCCACAAGAAGTCAGGTCAGGAGCAAATGTACAGAAGGGGCTCAGAAATAGAGTGTTGATCAAGCAACCAGAAGCTGGTCTGAGCAGGATTCAAATAGGTAGAGAAATAGGGGGCAGGACAGGAAGTAGCAGGAAGCAAGATATATTTACCATCAGGTGAGGCGGGCGACACACATAGCTGCTAGCTCAATGTAGCAAGAGCAGAGCACATGCTTGTAGAACCACAGGTGCCAGCAGACCCACAGCAGCAAAAAGGTAAACACACATGCAAACCAGTGAAGCACAGATCAGCTCTGCAGCTGATCTGTGACAAAAGGTATTATATTAATATCTCTGGTGGCCCATGTTTCCTACTTTCCCTCTGTTTCAGCACCTCCATCTTCCGCATTAAACACTTCTCGGACCGTTGAATGTCTAGGTGCACCACCACACTCCATTGTTCTATTCTCTTACCCCTACTTCAGTAGAGGAATGAAGGAAAGGCAAGAGACACAGACTGCTGAATAGGTGAAAAATAGCCTCTTCTTTTGCAGGGATTTTTATTCCATATTTTCTGTTTACCACAAAATATCACTTTAAAGTATATGTCAACCCTACCAATTATCTTGTCTTTTGTTTTCGCTTATGGTCTGTTAAAAATACCAATGAAAACATCTTTGGGTTTGATATGCTAAAAGGAAATAGGCTGTTCACTTTGCAAGGGAATTTTCACTTTGTAGGGAAATTTCCCTTAGCTTGGTAAATGTGGTGACATTTGCAAACAATGTGCATGGAAAATACAAGCAAAACATGCTTTCACATGATTAGGTAATATAAATTGACAGAGCTTCACCTCTTTCACTAAGTGAAGGGTAAACGTCCCATGCAAAGTGCAAAAACCCTCTGTTGTCCTATCCTACTGGTA